CCAGCTGCTGGAAGAGACAGCAGGACAAGGCAAGTAGGAAGCCAGGGGTGACACAAGAGCAGCCTGACACAGGACCCGGACGCAGGAGGCATCAGAGAGGGTGGCGTGGGGAGCTCTTTGTCCAGCTCAGATGAGGCCATGCAGAGCCCCAGCAGGAAGGAATGAGGCTGCAGTCCTCAGAACTGGAGTTTATGGGAGTGTGTACTGTTTTTGTAAGTGTGTTTTACAACTGACTTGTTATGTTTTCCCCTTTGACCAAATACTGTTGAAAAATGGAGAGAGAAGAGTAGCCAAAGCACTGAGCCTGGCTGCCTAGGCTTATATCCCGCCTCTGCCGCTGGAACACCGTGCCCCTGGGGAGCCTCGCTCCCTGAAGCCTCAGGCCCCTCACTTGCAAAGTTGGGTTAGCAACAAAGGCACTTCACAGGATGGTGGTCCATTAAATGGGGACACAGGAGGTGTTCAATACATAATTGTTACACGCATGTCAAGAAATTATAGACAGATACGTGTACCTGAGCGTGATAAAAAGAAAAAAAAATAAAGGAATTTACTGGGAAGGCACAACTCCTTGAGGATATTCACTGGTTGACCTTGAATGGTAATAATAATCCTAAATAAAAGTTGAGGTATTTGGGGTTTTTTGTGCATTTGTTGGCTTGCTTGCTTGTTTTGCTCATTCCAAAGTCAGAAAACAGCCTTGACGCATGCTCCAGATGTCCTAGTCATTTGCGGCTATGAAAGTCAGGGTCAGGTGCCCTGGAGCTTTTCCTGGTGAAGGTGGGGCTGGGGCAAGAGCAGGCCCAGTGACAAGTGACCAAATATAGAAAAGACTGGTTCCAGAGCAGGTATACATGAGAACAGGTAAGCAGTGGTCTAGATGAAGAGCAGGCAAGTAATGACTTTGAGAGAGGTGGGAATTGGACTCAGGTGTGCTCTGAGGAGGTATGTTTATAGTTATGATTCTATTTATTGATTATTGATCCACACTCATCTCATGTAAACCCCTGTCATTCACCATCCCATGGCCTTAACTGCAAGTGCTGTGGTTCTTCCATTATTTGGAGACCTCTGCACCCCTGGGTTCTGAGTTAAGCAGGACCATCCACAGAAATCAACAGTGGACTTCATCCTACTCATAAGAATAAAGGATTTTTTTCAGTTTTCTTCCTGGAAATTAAGTGCCTCAGAGCAAATGATTTTTTTCCAAGTTCCCCAGAAGCCTAAACAGTCTCACTTTCAATGCAAAAGGAGACTCCTGGACCCCTTCTCAAAAGTAAGAGCAACCTCAACACAACACCACACTGCCCCAGTGCCTGGTTCTCACCTTGGCCATACCATGAGGTCTGCCCGGGAACACAGTTCTCACGTGTGTCATAACCATGACAGCAATTGCCACAAACACCATAAGCATGGAATGGGGCTCCCTCGTCCTCTGTCCTCTGCTGGACACTCACTCATCTCTCCCCACCTGCGGAGATGTCCCCTAGAAGTCCGCTCCTCGGCACTCTGGGCTCTGGGCTTTCTGGGAACAGCCTGATCCCTCTGATCTTCAGTGACCAGATTTCCTAGGAGGCCCTCTGCCAGGCTCTTCTGTGAGCCAACGCTGTTTTTCTTCATTACTGTACCCCCAACACTGGGCATTTGCCTATAAACAGGAGATGTTGATTTAATAAACATATACTTCACTCAACAAATATGTGCCTGGTCCCAGGAATGCAACTCGGAAACCATAGAAACTGCCCAGGCTCTTACAAAGTTTACATTCTAATCAAATTTGTTCTCTGATTTGGTAACAACTAAGCAAACCAGTGATCTCAGATACATTATAGAGAAATATATATAAGAACTGGAGATGAGGGTATAGGTGAGACCTGAATTCAGCTTTGGTTTTGGCAGACTATTTGATCTGAAACCTGAGCAGCAAGAAGGAACCAGGTACACGGGGATCCTCTCCCAGCAGAGGGGACAACCAAAAGTACTGGTGAAAGAATCAGCTCATGATGCTCCAGGAACACGAAGGTGTTGGTCTTATGAGCTTGAGAGACTGAACAAAGGTCCCCTAGGCAGCTTGGGCTGATATAACAAAGTGACAAAGACCAGGTGGCTTATAAACAACATTTATTCCTTAGAGCTCTGGACCCTGGAAATCCAAGATCAAGGTGCTGGCAGATTCAGTGTCTGATGTGGATGTATATTCTGCTTCATAGAGGGTGTCTTCTTGCTGTGTCCTCACATGAAAGGGGTGAGAGGACTCTCTGGGGTCTCTTGTATAAGGACACTGATCCCGTGTATGTGGCTCCACCTTCATCACTTTCCAGAGACAACACCTTATAACACCATCACCCTAGAAGTTGTGTCAATATATACATTGGGGAACACGGTATTTGTTCTACAGCAGGGAATAGAGGAAGGCAATGAGTTTATACGCAGAAGATGCAGTGCCTTCTGGATCCCGAAGGTCCCAGTAGAAATGTGAGTGACACTCCAAGGAAATGAGAAACTATGGGATGGTTATAAACAGAGGGAGATGTGACCTCTTTCAGGTTTTACAAAGAACACCCTGGAAGCAAGCTAGAAAAAAGTATTGCCCTGGCCAGGTGACATAGTTGGTTGGAGCATACACCAAAAGGTTGTAGGTTCAATTCCCAGCCAGGGCACACACACCTTGTGCCCTGGTTCAATCCCCAGTTGCGGCACATACGGAAGGCAGCCAATCAATGTTTCTCACTGACATCAATGACTCTCTCTCTTTCACACTGATGTCTCTGTCTCACTCCCTCTCTCACTGTCTCTCTCCCTTTCTCATTCTAAAATCAATATGTATATCCTCAAGTAAGGATTTAAAAAAATAGAAACAAGAGTATTGACTTGAATGGATATTGCTGAACTGATTTTGAAATAAAATGTTTGATTCTTTCCTATGTATCTTGATGGATGCATGGTGAATACAGCCACCTGTATCTTGAAATTTCCCCCCAGCCATCCCCCACTGAGTTGCCAGGAAAGAAGGGGTTGGGAGCTCTGGAAGAGCCACCGTATAACAATAAGCAGTCACTTCAAATTGAACATGGAGCTACTCGGCAGTGAGGGCAAAGGAAATACATAAAAAGCCTAAATGGGTCTTATGGGATTTTAGTAATCAAATATCATCATTTGTATATTTTCCACATTATGGTGGGAACACTTTACAGCCAGCCTCTTTCCCCTCCTGTTCCTGTTAGAATTTTATTCTAGAGTAAATGTACATCAGTCCCACTTGTGCCCTGATCCAGGTCGTGTCCACACTTTCATTATAAACCATGTTTACCAAAGGTTTACAACTTGGCTGCAAAAACCAGCTGGCACCGAAACTGGAAACTTAGCGTGAACAGTTTGGCATAAACATTGCCCGGAAGCAGTTTTTCTATCTGAATCTGAGAAAAACAGGCTAGGTCATTTTCCAGTTATTTGTGTTATTCATGCATAAATAAAATGAAGCCTGACAGCTTCACACAGTTGTTTGCTTTTGCACTCCTCAAAAATAGATTCCATCCAAGAAAAGTAACATTTGGTAAACAAATACTCCATGACGGGCTGTAAAAACTGGAGGGAAAAAAAAAGTGGGCTGGAGTACATTAAATAGAAAGGGAAAAGGGAAGTGTTTCAAAAGTCACTTTGTGTCAGTGAGGAGGAACTGCGAGAGAAGTGTTACCAGACAGTTATGCAGATTCTGGAGGCATATTTAGAGGTTCCTGCGGACTCCAGATTAAATATGTAAACAAGCCAAACACAGACTTTCAAAAAACAAATTTTTCTATTCTATTAAAATCGAAGTCACAGCTCATCCTCGCACACAAGAGAATTAGATTTATGATGCTCAACCAAAAAAAGAAACCAATGATTTTTAAGAGTTCTCTAAAAGCAGTGGACTGTTAAAAAAAGGAGGGGAAGATATGAAGAAAAGAAGATATGAATGATACATTAAATGTGTTGATTAACGACAACAAAAACAAATGTCAGTACCTAAGGTCTCCTTGCCCGTCTCTGTGGTGTATTCAGAGTTTAGAAATGCATCCTGTAGGCTTTGAATTCCAGCAGCCAGCACCAGCTCTCTAAAACGAGAATGTGATGGTCTAGACCTCTCTCCAAAGAAAGCCTTTCTGGTAAATTGAAAAGTCAACCTTTACGTCAAGCAACTCTTGACAATAGTCCGCTTTGAGTTCTGTGGAGTGTGGGCAGAATGGACTTTCACTCTTGCAACCCTATCAGTGGGTGAGTAAAGTGAGTGTTTAAGGCAAAATAAAGCCAAGCCAACTCAAACAGAAAGTAAAAATAAGTCAGAGAGGAAAGAATACGGAACAGAGAAGACAATGCCAAGCCACGTCCCTGTCTGTCACAACACGGCCCCCTCTGTAACAAGTGCTCTTTCCGGTGTTCCTTTGTGGAAGGAATTGTTTCCACAGGTTTGCTTTTAGTACATGTGCCTCTCAGATGGGTTTTTAGCTGCATTGCTGCCCAGATCAGACGCAGGAAAATCCATTATGGTTGTTCTTGGTAGAAAAAAAAAATAGTGTTTCTTTTAGGCAGACTGTAAACACATAGAATTCTATCTTTGGTAGTGAAAGAGTTTGCCACCTAGTGATTTTACCTGACCCTTATAGTTGGTATAGTTCAATCCCACATGGTAATTCAAGCTAAAATATCTCCTGAGACACATCTCAAAGCTATTTTGCTCCCTAGAACCATCAAATTAACAGCCTCTCCAAGTTCCACCTCTCTGTCTTCTAGGGCAGACATTCCCTATTTTCTCCACTTCAGAGAAAGTCAATGCAATCATTTGTTTGCCCTGTTATCTAGATTGTTCCCATAGCAATGACATGGCAGTTAGGACTTCCACTCCTCACATGATTTGTAAACAAGTTTTTACACCATAGAGAGCTCACCTTCGTCATTGAGGACTATGAATAAATGCATAAATAAACACACAGAGTCACCCAATTGAGAGGACTTTTGATATGAAGGCATTAGATCTAGAGTCCCAAAGGTTAGAGACAAAACAAAAACAGTTTGATGGACCTCACAGAAACTACATGGTGAACCCCTAAGTATTTTCTCAGAATTTACAATTATTTTTATGTTCTTTAAAAGTGCACACTTAGCTTAATCTAACTTGTTCTCTAAGTTAATTCTTTAAGAACTGCAATGCATTTTATTTCTGTATTCCCAGTTCCTAGCAGAGTCCTGATACCAGAGCGTCAGTACACACCTGTTGAGTAAATGAACAATCGGCATGGGATGGATGCTATGGTATTGGTGAGTATCTATGTCTGTAGACAAAGAAAGAGGTCTTTTGTTTTTGGCTTTGTTTTAAGACTGAGGAAATGATTGGAAGCAAAAAGAAATTTGTACCAATCAGTGTAAATGCATGAGTTGTCTTTATTAATTTATTTTTTTAATTACAGTTAACAAACAGTACTATGTCAGTTTCCAGTGTTCAATAGTGATTAGACATTTATATAAATTATAAAGTGATCACCCCAATATGTCTAGTACCCATCTGGCACCATACACAGTTATTACAATATAATTCACTATGTTCATTATGCTGCACTTTTTCTACTTGTGACTGATTTCATTACAGGCACTTTGTACTTCTTAATCCCTTTCACATTTTTTTTGTCGATTTTCCCAACCTTCCCCACATCTGGCAACCATCGATTTGTTCTTTGTATCTCTAAATTTGTTTCTATTTTGTTTGTTTTTTTAGATTCCACATACAAGTGAAATCAGATGGTGTTTGTCTTTCTCTGTTTGACTTATTTCGCCTAGCGTAAAATCTTCTATGTTCATCCGTGTTTTCACAAATGGCAAGATTTCATTCTTTTTTATGGCTGAATAATATTCTATTGTCTATATGTACAACTTATTCTTTATCCATTCATGTAATAATGAACACTTATGTTGCTTCCATATGTTGGCTAATGTAAATAATACTGCAGGGAACACAGGGGTACATATATATTTTCAAGGTAGTATTTTGGATCTCTTTTTTTAAATATACTTTATTGATTATGCTGTTACAGTTGTCCCATTCCCCCCCTTTATTCCCCTACTCACTATATACCCCCTCCCACCCACATCCCCCTCCCTTAGTTCCTATGTGTCATACATATAATAAGTTCTGTGGCTTCTCCATTTCCTATACTATACTCAATCTCCCCCTGTCTATTTTCTATCTACCATTTATGATACTTATTCCTTGTACCTTTTCCCTCATTCTCCTTTTACCATTCCTGATAACCCTCCATGTGATCTCCATTTCTGTGATTCTGTTCCTATTCTCCCTGTTTGCTTAGTTCGTTTTTGTTTTTGTTTTCTTTTAGATTCGTTTGTCGATAGTTGTGAGTTTGTTGTCATTTTACTTTTCATTGTTTTCATCTTCTTCTTTTTCTTAGATAAGTCCCTTTAATATTTCATATAATAAGGGCTTAGTGATGATGAACTCCTTTTACTTGACCTTATCTGAAAAGCACTTAATCTGCCCTTCCTTTCTAAATGAAAGCTTTGCTGGATAGAGTAATCTTGGATGTAGGTCCTTGCCTTTCATGACTTCAAATACTTCTTTCCAGCCCCTTCTTGCCTGCAAGGTTTCTTTGGAGAAATCATCTCATAGTCTTATGGGAACTTCTTTGTAAGTAACTGTCTCCTTTTCTGTTCCTGCTTTTAAGACTCTCTCCTTATCTTTAATCTCATGTAATGTAAATATGATGTCCCCTGGTGTGTGCTTCCTTAGGTCCAACTTCTTTGGGACTCTCTGAGCTTTCTGGACTTCTTAGAAGTCTATTTCTTTTGTCAGATTGGGGAAGTTCTCCTTTATTAATTGTTCAAAGAAGATTTTGATTTCTAGCTCTTCCTCTTCTCTTTCTGGCAACCCTGTGATTCAAATGTTGGAAGATTTAAAGTTATCCTGGAGGTTCCTAAGCCTCTGTTCACTTTTTTTTTTTCATTCTTCTTTCTTCATTGTGTTCTGGTTAAATGTTTATTTCTTCCTTCTGCTCCAAACCATTGATTTGAGTCCCAGTTTCCTTCCCACCACTGTTGGTTCCCTGTACATCTTCCTTTATTTCGCTTTGCATAACCTTCACTTTTTCCTCTATTTTGCAACCATACTCAACCAATTCTGTGAGCATCCTGATTATCAGTGTTTTGAACTGTGCATCTGATAGGTTGGCTATCTCTTTGTTGCTTAGTTATATTTTTTATGGAGCTTTGATCTGTTCTTTCCCTTGGGTCATTTTGTTTTTTTGGTCTCTGTGTCCCTATTACATAGGTAATAGGCAGAGTCTTAGGTATTCACCAGGGCAGGGCAACCCACATTACTGCGTTGTGGCACTGTATGTGGGGTGAGGGTGGGGTTGGGGGGGTCCGAGAAGGAACAATGCTGCTTGTTCAGCTCTCTGCTGGCTTTCAGTCACTTCTCCCACTACTTGTAAGCAAATTAGGCCCTTCTGGTGCTGATTTCCAGGTGGGTGGTTTTGTGTATATTCTAGGACACTGTAGGTCTCTCCTATGAACTCTCCTGTGAGGCTGGGATTTTCTTCTGCTGCCACACACCCACAGGATTTTTCAGTCAGAGGTTTTGAGGCTTTATTTTCCCCTGCTGGAACCCTGGGTTGCATGGTCTGTCTCACTCCCCAGTTGTTCCAGTTTGTCTGCACGAAAATGTGGGACCACCTGCTCCTCCAGCAGATCCCTTGCCCGCCCCAGTCCTCCAGCTGCCACCTTGCCTAGAGTCCTCTCTGCCCGGGTGCGCTTCTCCACCTCTCCTACTAGTCTGGATGAGTTTTTCTTCTTTAACTCCTTAGTTGTCAGACTTCCAAACAGTTCAATTTTCTATAAGTTCTGGTTGTTTTTTATTCTTAAATTTGTTGTTGTCCTTCTTTTGGTTGTTCAAGGAGGCACAGTGCATCTACCTACACCTCCATCTTGGCCAGGCAGATTTCTTTGAATAAATACCCATAAGTGGAATTGCTAGATCCTACTTTTTAATTTTTTGAGGAAACTCTGTACTGTTTTTCACAATGGCTGCACCAATTTATATTCCCACCAACAGTGCACAAGGGTTCCCTTTGCTCCACATTCTTGCCATCACTTGTTGCTTGTTGGTAGGGGTTAATATTCAAAATATGTAAGGAATGCATGAGTTGTTTTGAAATGTGCATAGTCCCAATTTGGCCTTTGCCAAATGAAGAGGGACTGTTTGCAGACCACAAACAGAAAGAACTGATGATTTCTAGAACAATAAGTTCCTCAGCTAATAATCTAAACCTTTGGATACCAGCAACTGAAGAAGTAACTACCTACAGACCTCAGGTTTGGGGAAGTTAACAGGCAGTTAGATGATTAGTGATAGAAACTCCAAGGAATTAATTGTAAGAGTGGAGTATAGCTTGTAAAAATAATCCGTATTTTACTATACAATTTATAAATGAAGAAAAAACACAATACTTTTTATCCAACCTAGAAAAAGTAATGAAATAAAATTTAACAAAATCTTATAGCCAAATGAGATATCTGCCCTTTCATCTGCAAAACAGACAGATTAGGGCTGAAGGTCAAGATCATAGCATGTGGGGTTTCAGGAGGTCACTTTCCACACCAGGTGTCAGCACACAGTAGCTTCCACTTTGCTCTTGTATAACTGTATATTCTCTGTATTGAAATTGAAGTATAAAAAACACTCACTTTGACCGAGAATGAACCCAGCTTGGTATCCATGTCCCCAAGGGACATTGAAGTTCTTTTCTTAATGTTTCTTCAACATTGCATCGTGTATCTTGGGAAATGAAGGAGAAAGCTAAGTGCCACTCTCCAGTCTTGAAGCCAAAATGACAATGAAAAGTAGTGGCCTAGGAGAAAGAGTTTAAGTTTCACATTCAGAAACTAGATTCCATTGCTACCATTGTATTTGCAAAACTTGTGGCATGTGGCAAGTTACTTAACCACCCAAGCCTTCATTGAGCACCTTGGCTATAAAATGAAATCATCCTTATCTGCTTCCAGACTATTCAAAAGAGATTATATATAGGAAGTTATCCCTGAAGCCAGTGCCAGGAGGCAATTGGGTTGGATTCCCTAGCTCATCCATCCATCAGATTCAGGAGATCCATCTCCAAATTTATCCTCATTCTGTCATGCACTATTCCCTTCTTCTTCAGAGCCACAGTCAAGCCTTGCTTGCACCATACTTAGGAGCTCTTACTGAGTTCTCTGCTTCTCTCTCACCTCCCGTAACTCATTCCCCACAGAATGGGTGTGATCCTACATCATCATCCTTATTTCTTTCCTCCCTGCTCACCTTCCATTGCCTGCCTCTTCTTGATTTCCAGTTGACATGGATGATGTCTTTGGATAAATCTTGATTTTTCAAACTAAAGGAGCCTCTCCACCCTTCCAAACTCTCTATATATTTTCTCTGCAGCACCTGCCTGAATTCTGCTGTTCACTTGTGTTCATTTCTGTCTCAATCATCTTGGGGCTGCTATAACAAATACCACACACTGGGAGCTTTATCAACAGCAGCCATGTATTTCTCACAGTTCTGGAGGCTAGAAGTCCATGATCAAGTTGCTGACAGATTCAATATCTGGTGAGACCCCTTTCCTAGTTTATAGACCATGCCTTCTTGCTGTCCCTCACATTTGGGAACAGCGAGAAAGCTCTCTTGAGTCTCTTTTATAAGGATACTGGTCCCATTCATGAGGATTCCCTCCCCATGATATCAACACCTCCTAATGGCCCACACCTTCTAATACTATCACCATATCACCAACATATGAATTTGTCAGGGGGTAAGGGGATACACTAACATTCAATCCATAGCAGAATGCCTATGTCAGTCCCCCAGAATGTAAATGCTGAGGAGTACAGGAACACAGCACAACTCCAGAGGGCGCTGTTCCCTGGAAGTCTAAAAGAGCAGTGCCTCCTAAAGGTGTGCACAGCCCAACCAGTACAGAACACACCAAGCCTGCTGGGCTCTAAATCCTTACTCCCTGGTGCAGTATGGGGACATTGAAGCCACTGAATGTATTTGAGGATTGACTTTATTATAAAATAATTACATTCTTACACTATAAAATTAAAATAATATGCTGGCTGAGAGAATACAGAGCTTTATGAGAAGTTAAATAGTAGGTTATACAGTTTGGCAGTGGTTCTAATGTCTGGCTGGGGCAGCTTCACCTCATGTACACACAGAAACAAGTGACGGATTTGTGGGTGGTTTCTGCAAGCACTCTGGCTGGATCATATTTTAATGGCCTTATAAATTACTTTATTCTTTTTTTATAAAAGCTTTAATGACGTGAAGAGGTCAGTTACATTTTAATTTATGCTTTATTGCATTTCAGGGGAAAATTATACGTTACAGTTGAATTTGCAAAGTTGGGTATTTTCAAAGGTCATGGAATGTGTGACTCACACATGTGAAGGCAACACTAGGAAACAGATGCTTTATTCGTATCTGTCTTAAGAATAATTTTCAGTTTATCACACACATTTGATTTAATACTGAGACCTCACAACAAGTCAGCCTCACTTTCTCTGACTGCACATGCGCCCTGTGGGCAGAAGTAGCAGAGATGAATGTACAAGTCATGTCATCTTAGCCACAAGGCCCTCTGGGACCTCACAGCAAGCCAACGGTGAGAACAGTGAGCAGGAAGGGTCAGGCAAGGCTACTGAAGTGACTCAAAGGTGATGACCCCCATTTTCACATCACAAAATATAGGAGAGGGAAGAGGCATGAACTGGGATGACCCCATTTCCAAAGGGCCATTCTAGTGAATTTAGAATACCTCGGGTCTCATTTGTTGGCAAAATGGTCAAATCTAGCTCTTCTAGAGTACCTACCATGTAACTGTCATGAGTTCCCTTGCCAGCCACTTCATATAAACACATGAATCTTCCCAATAGCCTACAAGGGCATTGTTTCTCTTTAAAAGATCAGAAATCTCCAATCATAGCAAGAAGTAGCCTACAGATTACTAGAGAGGAAGGGGGATGGGGAAGGACAAAGAGGGCAAAGAGGGTCAAGTACATGTGACACAAGGAGACTAGACATTGGGTACTGATGCATTATAGACCTGAATTATACACCTGAAACTTAAATGTTATTAACCAATGTCAATCAAATAAATTTAATTTTAAACAAGAGGAGTAACTCACCAAGCACAGCTGATACAAGACTCACACCCAAACCTGTAATTGTCTGCGAAATCATAATGAACACTTGCTGTATACATATGAAACATAAATTGGGAAAACAACAGCCTTATGAGGTAGTATTACTATTATCCCTATTGTTCAGGTGAGAAAATGGAGCTCAGAAGGTCAGAATCACAGTGTTAGAAAGCTGTTCGTGTCTGATTGAAGTCCACTCCCCATGCAATTTCTGGGAGAACTACAATGTTGCCCCCACAATCACCACCAGGATCTGGACTATCGGCAGGCTTGGAAGCACCAGAGTTTCTGGGAGACCACAGCTTGGTTTCCCAATCTATGGAGCCTGACTCCACATCACGTTTTCTGTGCACCCAATTCTTCTGCAAAAACAAAGTCCAGGCAGCTCCCTGTCAAAGCTAGAGTGGGGATGCTGTGGGCACAAGGCCAGCCCATCCTCCCTCTTACTGAGAGCCAACAGAATATGGAACAGAGAGGAATGAATAAGCTTGGTGGTATAACAGAATTTTCTCAGTGGGCACTGAAGGGCATCCAGAACTGAACCTAGTCTCCTCACCTGCTTCACCACCTAACACACCATACCTCATGCAGTACCCAGGGGCCCTTATTTGTGCCTCAGTCTCATTGTCAGCTGCCTTAAGTTTTGATGTCTTTCCTTGACTGTTATAGCTGTCTTTTCCTTCCCCCCGATTGTAGATCCCATGAGCACTCATCCATGGCAAAAGCTCTTTCTCTCCAGGACTAAATGTGTGCATCTCTCTTGCTCTAAGGAGGAAGTATGTTTATAAAACTCTTTCAACATGGATTAATTAAATTATAATCAGAGTGAATATATTTCTTCCTACATGGATCAATGACATTAGAGCCTCACTTTTGCATCTAGCAGGTACAGTTGTCACCAGGATTCTGAGGTCTAAGGACAACCTCCCATAAGAGAAAATATATCCACACTAAGTTTTTTTAAAATACACCTTCTACTTGTTCTCTGACTCCCTTTCTCCTCCTCACAGCATCCTTCCTCCCAGAAGCTTTATATACCATCTGTAGTTCTGTCTTACAAAGTCATTTTGAAGGAAGCAGTGTTTTTAAATTTATTTAGAAACTTAAGGCCTGCAAAAAAACCCTTTAGTTTGATGGCTATCTAGGCATTTGTCATATTTATAATGTATGGTTACTATTTTCCTGTTGGTATTCTTTCACTTCTTCTAACATCCCTGAAAACTCAGATGTCTTATCTTTGCATTATCCCAAGTAGAGTGACTGTAAGTCACTAAATGGATAAATTGCATTCATAGATTTTCAATGTCTCTGTGATAGATATTTTCAATATGTAAACAATATATATGCTGTGTACAGAATCCAGTTATAGTCAAGTTGACAGTTTATCATGGAAATAATTTAAATATTAAAAGATATAAATATGTATTTAGCAATCCTTTCTTTTCTTGTTGCTTATTTTGGGTTTATCTTAGACATGTTTTCATACATAATAACTGCTTTAGTCTCAGCTTGATAAAGAGTTTTGTGTGTTTATCTGTAGATTTCTATTTTTATTGAGAGTCTGATTGTATACTCATTAAATATACAAATGTATGAGGGATAAAGTTAAAATTCTGTTAAATTGAAATATGTGGATAATAGGAACCCAAGACCACAGTGCACCTTGTGAGGTATTGGGCCCATAATTAATGATCCCTGGGCAGAACATGGAAGGGCTGGGTGATGAGCAAGCTGTCCTCAGATGGGCAGTTATAATCAAGCATTGCTGATTTAAAATACATTGAGTGTGTGTGCAGACACACTGATATGCGCATTTATTTCTCTGGAAAGATAATCATCATAAAGAGTAAATAGCACCTGTGGCTTAGTTGGTTGAGCATCATCCCACAAAGCTAAAGGTTGCCAGTTCAATTCCTGGTCAGGGCACATGCATGGGCTGCAGGCCAGGTGCCCCTTTTGGGGAGCATGTAAGAGTCAACCAACCAGTGGATGTTGCTCTCTCACATTGATGTTTCTCTTCCTTTCTTTCTCTCTTCCTCTCTCTAAATAAATATAAATACTTTTTAAAAAAGCAAATGGTTATTACTTATTTTGGGTGGAGAAAATTGAATAAAGAGAAGAATTTATTTTAGGTGTCCACTCTTTTTTAATGTCCCCTGTGAAGGTCATTTATTTCTCATTGTTAAAAATGTCAACAGAAGTTATCTTGGTGACATGTTTTTCATTATATGTCTCTATATTAAAAAATAAAATCAAGTTATTTTAAAACAACTAAATTTTAGTATGATTTTAGACTTTGGTCAGTAGGTGAATACACTGATGTACAGTTTACTTTGATCTAGCATAGTGATTTTCAACCAATGTACCGCAAAAGGCGCACTGATAGGTGGCAAGCATTTGAAAACACACAGTACCTGGCTATTTAATCAGGGGACTAACCTCTTTTCCCTTAGAATATCACCTGAAAAATAACAGTCAACACAACAATAGCCATATGATATGAATGCATCAAAATAGTGCCTACTTTTTTTGTCAGATTGGCAAAAAATATATTTTTTGGTGTGCCACAAAATTTTAGTAATTAGTTTATGTGTGCCATGTGATGAAAAAGGCTGAATATTGTTGATCTAGCACATTCTCTATATGTCTAAAAGTTTAAACCAATATTTCATACCTTGCTTACGCTTTCTAGGTTGGCATCACTGCTATTTCCATGAACTTGAAGACATTCTGTCCCGTGAACACACTTCCTGTATCATGCTTTGATCTGGAGGTGGATGGCCTGACGTGCTGGCTGTGATCACATGGAGGGGTTCCATGTGTGTGACTGGTTGGAGACCAGTGATTACAAGAACCCTCCTGGAGGGAAAAATCACTTTAATAGGTCTCTGGTACCTTTATTACCCAGTAATTTTACAGTTTGTGTGCTAAATGCAGTGAAGCTTATAATCACCTCTGCTGTCATTCCTCACACAACCACCTTATAGACGTGGGAAGGAAAACAGGGGCCAAGTGCACCGCCAGTGCAGACGCCTCTGCCAACCACCCTCAGTAGCATGGGCAGCCTTCCCAGCTAAGCCTTCTTCTCCCACAATCATTTTAACAGGGAATGACTGGGAGATACTCAAAGAGGCAAAAAGAGGCTTTTGACATAATTTCAAGGTTTTAATGAGGAATTAATCTTGTTGAGAAACAGCTGCCTCCTGGGCCCTTATCTGTGCTCCCAGCACCGAACACTCTGAGTGTTTTCTTTTGCATCCAATCCCCAAAACGTATCATATCACATCTTTTCTCAAAATGAAGGCCCCTGTGTGGGAATAACTTAGGACAGAACAACAGAAGAAGGGAGTGATGGTTGGGAGCTTAGCTGTCTTGATATTAGTTCTTTGAAAAAATAATATGATGTTTGAAATGATTATGGCAATGTCTTGATATTTTCAATCTTAATAAGTTTTAATCAGTTTAGGTTTGCTAATGGTACATTTCCTTTTTTCAGAATCTGCAAGCCTGTGGCTCCCTTGGATCCCACCTTCTAGAAGATGAAGTCTCTTCCTGTTTCTCTGTCTCAGCTCTACATCAAGATACTTACATTTTTCTGCTCCATTGCTCTCTGTGACCTGATTTTGTTGGGCCCTTGAAACGGGCTGCACAGACCTTTCTGCCAGATTCTGAAGCTGTTGGCCATTTGCATGTGCAACACAGATGAGCGCTGAAGGTGATCACACCAGAGAACACCATCACTGGAGCAGGTCTGTACAGGATAATCCCACAGGGGACAGAGCCACAAAGATGAGACTATCCATCTAATGTGACTTCAAAGGAAACACATAGCATCCTTGTACTTAGTATTTAATTTATTCCCCAGAAGAGATACTGTATATTCTTTGTCTAATATTCAATATTATAAATGTACAGTATTATGATTCTGTCATAAACAGTGACCTAGGGACCTACATACCATTTATGACTAGAATCTGGTAGGCTTTCTTCCCAAGAAACAGAAATATATTTACAAATTAACCTTCAGTGTATAACTGATCTGTACATTGGTAACTCATCCTACATAATTCCTTTTACTCTGAACCATGAGTAAGAAGGGACAGTGTGACCCCCAAAGGCAGGTTACTGGATAACTTTATTGGCCATCCACAGGGGCTGAGACACAGCTTTTGTTAAATATGTTTTATTGATTATGCTATTACAGTTGTCACAATTTTTCTTCCTTTACCTCTCTTCCTGGTACCCCCCATTTACTCCAGTACTCTCCCCTTGGTTCATGTCTGTGGGTCATGCATATAAGTCCTTCAGCTGCTCCATGTCCTATACTGTTCTTAATATCATCCTGTCTATTCTGTACCTACCAGTTATGCTTCTTAACCCCTGCACTTTTTCCCCCATTCTCCCACTTCCCCCTCCCAAATGATAACTCTCCAAATGATCTCCATATCTATGATCCTGTTTCTGTTCTGCTTAGTTTGTATTTTAGATTCAATTGTTGATAGTTGTGAATTTATTGCCATTTTAATGTTCATAGTTCTGATCTTCTTTTTCTTAGTAAGTCCCTTTAACATTTTATATAATAGTGGCTTGGTGATGATGAACTCCTTTAGCTTTACTTTGTCTGGGAAGCACTTATCTACCCTTCAATTCTAAATGATAGCTTTGCGGGATAGAGTAATCTAGGTTGTAGGTTCTTGCTTTTCATCACTTTGAATACTTCTTGTCTGTCCCTTCTGGCCTGCAAAGATTCTTTTGAGAAATCAGCTGAGAGTCTTATAGGAATTCTTTCATAGGTAACTCTCTTGTTTTCTCTTGCTTTTACAATTTTTTTAATCTTTAATATTTGGCATTTTAGTTATGATGTATCTTGGTGTGGTCTTCTTTCTGTCCATCTTGTTTGGGACCCTCTGTGCTTCCTGGACCTGTAAGTTTGTTTCCTTGACAAAATTAGGGAAGTTTTCTTTCATTATTTTTTCAAATAAGTTTCTAATTTATTGCTCTTTTTCTTCTCTGGCACCCCTATGATGTTAATGTTGAAACATTTGAGGTTTTCCCAGAGTCTGCTTATACTATCCTCGTTTTTCTGGATTCTTTTTTCTTCTTGCCATTCTGATTGAAATTTTTTTCTTCCTTATGTTCCAAATCATTGATTTGATTCTCAGCTTCATCCAGTTCATTGTTGGTTCCATATGGATTTTTCTTTATTTCACTTAGTGTAACCTTCATTTTTGCCTGGGGCTTTTTATGTTGTCAAAGTACCCAATGTGTTCCTTGAGCATTCTAATAACCAGTGTTTTGAACTCTGCATCTGATGGATTGCTTATCTCCATTTTGTTTAGTTCTTTTTCTGGAGTTACGTTCTATATTTTATTTGGGTCATATTTCTTTGTCTCCTCGTTTTTGCAGCCTCCCTGTATTTGTTTCTATGTATTAGGTAGAGCTGTTTTGACTCCATGTTTTAGTAGCATGGCCTATTGTAGAAAAGCACACTGGCCAATTGGATGGGGAAGAGCCTTAAGTAATTGCCAGGGATGAGTAACTCATGTCATCCAGGTTGACGGAGTCTCAGATATAGTGTCACCACTCTGTGGCTCTGGGGTGGGGGAGGGCTCAGAAAGGGGACAGTGCTGCTGCCTGGCCTCTGGAGTTTTTTGTTTTGGAGGGAGCTATTCCCCAGCATTCACACTGATGCCAGACACTTCAGTTTCTCCCTGTATGCCACTGATGCCCTTCCAGCTGCTATCCCAGTGATGGAACCAAAAAGGGAGTGAATCTATATAAGTTCTAAGTCCTTTGTGGGCCCTTACAAGGAAATGCCTGAGAACCCTACAGTTTCTTCCACTGTCCCAATCACCACTGGTTTTTACAGCCAGAAGTTATGGGGACTTATCTTCCTGGCACTGGAATCCTGGGCTGAGTGGTCTAGAGTGGGGTTGGGATTTCTTGCTTTTAAGGTATCCCTTCTGATTTTTACCTACCACATGTGGGCGTAGGACTACCCATTCTATTTCTCTGTGCATCTTCACCCTTCCTACTCATCTGGATGAATGTGACTTCTTTAATTCCTTGGTGGTTGGACTTCCATACAACTTGATTTTCTGATGGTTCTGCTTGATAGTAGTTTTGTAGTTTAGTTGTATTTTTTGCTGTGAGTGTGTCAGGAGGCAAGTCATGTTTACCTACACCTCCATTTTGAGACATGTTTTTTGCAAACAGCCAACATAGCTCTCTCATGCTTGAGAAACACATGTTTTCTGCTATCACTGCTCCTCAAATTAGTCCCTTCATTCTTTGCTGTGCCTGACTCTGGGTCTGTTAGTGCAACCATCCAAACTCTAGGCAGAACTTAGTCTTCTCTCTGTATTTTCTGCTCATGAGGAAAAGAAACAATCACATTGGAAGATTAAGAAAGGGTTGCAATAATTAGAGATTGAATGATAGTAGAGATTGAACCTTTGGCCAGAGGGCACTAATATGCCTCTACTGGGCAAATGTTCTTTTTTTCTCTTCCTGTGGTAACCTTTCAAAGTTAGGTTATTATACCTACAGACCAAGAAAAGAATGTGAGTGTAGGAAGAGGTGCCAAGGAGATTTTGCACATTTACCCAAGTCCCAACACAGCTCATCAAGACAATACACTGGGTCAGAGTGCAAGAGTCTAAGCAGAAATAAAAAGAAACCATTTCTGAAAGATCCTCTCTTCTCTGCTCAAGAACATACAGCAGCCACAGCCAGATAGCTCAGCTGGTGAGAGTGTGGTCCTGATACACCAGGGTTTTGGATTCAGTCCCCAGTCAGACACATACAGGAATCAACAAATGAGCACATGAATGGATAGAACAACAAAGTCAATCTCCCTCTCTCTCTCCTGTCCTTTTCTTTGTCTAAGGCCAGTACATAAAAATTGTAAAAAAATTGTAAAATTGTAAAAAAAATTGTAAAAGAGAAGAACCTACAGTGGGTGATCAAGAATTCAGTCATTCTGGATTCTGGCCAATTTTCTCAGCTTCTCTTTTTCTACTTTAGATAAGACTAAAACATCTTAACATGGTGGCACTCACTGTAAAACCTTTAATAAACGATCAGAATGCTGTAATGTTGAGACCAGGGTCTGTACTCACTGAGACTACACAGACATGTTTTAGAACACCATTTCCAAAACTCTCTGATAAACAAGCAGCAGAACTAAGATTAACACTAAGGTGATCTCCAAAGTACCAGGAAGTGCGGTTCAACACCAAGCACCTGGTCCCACCACTGATCATATCTGCTCTTTGTCCTGCATTTTCTCATCCCTCAAGCAATTATCACTGTGCATGATGTGGCTTCACTCCTGTTTATGACAATTTAAGCAATGACAGCTTCTCTCAACCATAAGAAGAAGCCTGTGATCCAGGGTGGCCATTCAAGAAACATGTTTCAGTCCCAAAGTCAGCAAGCAACCCTCACCAAGCCAATATAAGCCCTAAGACAGATGGGGTTGGTAAGAAATCAGGAAATTTCTCTCTCTCTGAGATCTTGGAACACTAAGGAGATCGTTCTTTCCACCAGATGTAGAAAACATGTCTAAAGCAAATCCAGCATTATGTGAAGCAGAATTACAAGATAAAAACAGGGAAACAGAGTTCCAGTAATATTATCGATCTCCGGGATTTGGCTGTACTTAAGGATGAGTCACTCTGAAGCCCAAGTCACATGCGCCCCTGTTTCCCTTTTGTTTTAGCCAGTCTGAGCTATCTCTCACTTGTAACTTCAAGATTCCTGATTGGTGCCCTGTGATTTTTTTCAAGCAATATGTTGTAGAAATCACATAAAAACAAAATCTGTAGGATATTTTCACAAAGGGTCAATATCAATCATGCAAAATGCCTACTCTCCATTTAGCAAGTGTTAAATTCACAATGCAGAAAATTAATACTCTATTTTTGGAATAATTGTGAGTGCTTGTAGGGATCTTCTAATTAAATCATTATGCAATTTAATTGAAATACCAGAAGCACATTGATTTGTCAGGGTGTCAGTGGGCACTACTACAGCATTGATTTTTTAATCTGACTGATAATCTGGGCAGTCTGCTTTTTTAAAAGCTAAAACAGCAGGTGAGATCCTTGCATTTCTAGGATGAAGCTAACGTAGTGACTCTTAATCATAGCTGGCATCTATCCATTTGTACTCGAATTCTGAAACTTGAGGTATCTAGTTGAAATGGTGCTTCATCCCCACACAGAGATGAGCAAGTTTGTACCACAGAGCACAGGGAACTTTTTACTTAGCCCCAGCGTTTCCTTGTGTTGAGCTGTACAGAAATGATATCAATCTGGAGGCTGCCAGGAAAAATGGATCTGGTGGGAGGGGGTTGTAGACAAAGACAGAAGAGCTCTCACAAGGCAGCTGAAGAGATGGGAATGTGTGGGCACAAAAGCAGAGTATTATGTTAGCAGAGAAAAGAAAGATATTATCTAGATAAGAGGGGAAGGTGGAGGCAAGAAACATTTGATAGTATTAGTTAAAAATAGAACTAAAAAATATTACAGGTTGATTTTCTCTATGAATGTGCTTGAACATTCTGTCCATCTAGGTACAGTAATGCCAACAGATAATTTCATACATATCACTACAGCTATGACACAGATGCTAAGGAGGGAAAGGTGGATTACCGGGGAGAATGTGTTTATGTGTAAAATATAACTGATGCATACAGTGGACTATTCAATACAAAAAGAAAAAAAGGAAGAGGATGTGTAATGATCTCATTAATTTTGTTGTATCCAGTCTCAGATGACATTTTTGAAAATGGTTTAGTGATTTTGTTATTAAGATAAAGAAACACTGCTACATGCAATCCTGTTTCAGTGGGAATAAGCTTTGCTTAGAACCACAGTTCATTATCCCTAGTCCCTCACTGGACCTTCTTTGAGATGAGAAGTCATCCATGAAAGTTGCTTACAGCTAAATGGGAGCTGTCAACCAGCTTCCCATCTTGTGGCCACTCCAGCTAGTCTATGACAACATAGCATTTCTTTTAAACTGAATGCAAAATGGATTCACTAGTAGATGTGGGTCTCAAAAGTTTGAGAACTGCATGATTTATGCATAGCATTTC